AGCTGCCCCCCCTTTCCCGGGCACGAGCCCAGCTCCCCCCAGGGGCCCAGGGCCAGCCCTGCACCTTCCCGCTGGGAGCCCCGGGGCGCCTCGCCTCCTCATGCCGTTCCCTGCCCTCTGGACCCAGCCTCCGGGCAGTGGCTGGGGGTCCGCTGCGGGGCCTCCCCTTCTACCCCCCACCCTGTCCTCAGCCCAGCAGGGGTCCCCGGGGCCCGGGGGGGGCACACACGCGTGAGCTCCCTTGCACAGTCACTGCTTGGCTAGCTTCCGCCGCAGCCGTGCATCCTCCATCTTTACATTTCATGTACCGTGTTTAAGGTGTTTATATCATGGCAGTGCATTACGCTGCAAGCTTTCCTTCCCCTGAACTCGCAGCTGCTGCGCGGCTGATGATTCATTCACGGCGGCCCCTCCGGGCACTTATTACTCAAACGTTTACGCCCCGCAAGTGCCTGCAGGGATACAGAGCGTGGCCGGAGAGGCTCTCCCGCCAGTCCTAGGCGGTGCAGCCACGGAGGAGGGCTGACGGGAGGGGGACACCCAGGGGGCCACGAGCCACGAGGAGCCCAGCCCAGCCTCACCGCCTGGAGCGCCTTCCCTGGGCCCTCCGCGTGAGCAGACAGGCAGCGCCTGAGCTGCCAAGCCCCTGAGCGGCCGGCCTCGGCTCAGGCCGCACTCACATCGGCGACGGTGGAAGGGGTCCCTTGCACAAGACAGACGCCCACTGGGAGGGGAAGTGGCGTCCAAGCTTCCCAAATGTGTGGAAACGCCCAGAGCGGCGCTCTTTCCCCACAGACCGGCACCTGATGGATCCAGAGCTGTGTGTGCGGAGAGAGCGGCACATGCTTCCAGCAGGCATTTTGCACCCGGGAATGAGAGCCACCACCTGCCACCACCCGGACCTCTCCCTCCCGCCCCGAGGGCTCTTGCTGTAGGGCCCAGGAGAGGGGGCTGCGGGCCAGCGGTGGCCCACCGGAAGGCTGGCAAGCTGGGGCGGAAGATCAGCCGGGATGGGGAGGGGGCTGCTGACCGAGGGGGGCAAGAGCGGCAAGTAGAGGCTCCGCCTGGTCTGTAGAGCCACGAGGCCTCTGGGAGGGCAAATGTGCCTCCTCGCTGCGGCTGCCAGGCGTCCCCCTGGGACCCCGCAAGGGCGGGAAGGACCCCCGTGGGAAGGGGACATGGCAGCTCCTCAGGCTCAAACCGGCAGGGAGAAACGAGCCGCTCTTCTTGCCGGGCAGCCACGACTCTGCCCCCGGCCAGCCACGGCAGCTGCAAGCACCAGGCAGGGGGCCCAGAGAGGGGCGAGGGGCAGGATCTGTGTGCGGAGGGGCAGTCGGAGGGGCGGGCAGCCGCTGCTGCAGCCCCACCCACAGGAGGTGCCCGGTGCATCTGCCCGACCAAGGGGCTGGCCCTGGGGCTCGTGCCTGTGGCGGAGGGCCGGGGGAGACGGGCAAGGGCCCGAGCAGCTCCTCTGAGGCCGCCGGGGGGGGGG